GGGGCCGGGCCGGGCGGGCGAGGTCCCGCAGCCCCACGCCTCGTCGTTCCGTCACTGGCGCGCTGGGCCGCTCTGCGCACGCTCGCGCGGCCACTCCATATCACGTGGCCCGCTCCCGACCAACTGCCACGCGGCCTACTCCTGGGCGCACCCCCGCTTCGCCCCGACGCCAGGCGTGGGGCGCCTGCGTGGTGGTCCGCTGGTTGGGAGGAGGTGCGGAGCGAGGGGTGGCGCCTGCGCCCTGAGTTGGAAGGGGATGGGGGAAAGAAGAAGGGCTTTGGGGGATATCACGGCGGACCCTCCAAGGGAAGGATGTTTCAGTTTGGCGCCCCATGTGGTGAGGAGGAATGATCAAGAAAGGCGCTGCAGGATGCTTGTAGACTAAGGTAGACGCCTCGCTGGAGGCTGAGGCCGGCCGGTAGAGATTGTGAAAAAGCTGTTTTTGTAGGATATAAGCAGTCGAATACCTGCATTTCTTAGGGTGCAACCTGACACACCTGAGTTCGCCGCCATGAGTCGGAATAGACTCGACGGCAAGTAACAGCAACCACCTAATACATGTAAAGTAACCAAGCAGAATACTTAGGACTAGAAGTATCCCATAAATGTTATGGTTTGGGTTATTATGGTTATTAACCCCTCCCAGGCATCGCCACACCTCCTCTCATCCTTACCAGAATTTTCCATCAGCCTTAATGGCTTATCTTAGACATACTCTAGTTCCTCACTCCCTGTTTTTAGCTGGACAAGGCCCTGAGTGATGTAAGCACAGGTTTATGTGTATCCCTCCTGTGCCGGCCTCAGACAGAATCTTCCCAGTGAAGTGTTTTACATTTGCACACCCTCAGCCTCTCCTTTCTGATGCCTTTCCCTTTTGATGCCTCTCTCTTCTCACTTTGTCACCCAGCCACACCACTGTATTAGTATTAGTTTGTCACAACCATTGCTTATAATAACCGAAAAAGTAAGGGGTATAAAATAACAGGACTCGTAGCCTTCAATCCCACAGTGCAGAAGTTCAGAGTGCTTGGGGAAGGAGTTGGCCCTGCTCCCTAAAACAACTCACCAGCGAGAGTCCGGTCAGAGCTTTTGATAACCACACTTGTATCCAAGCATGTACACTTTGGGTAAGCACAGAGATCTTCCCCACAAGAGAAATGTCACACTCCAGTATTCTATAACCTTCCAGGATTTCCCCTCCCTACCTCCTCATATCGACTGTCTCATAGTCTGTCCACATCTTCCTGGCTTTGTTTCTTTTCCTATCCAGTCTAGCCTCTATGGTCAGTCACTTTAATCACATTTTTTTGCTTGTACTATTTCCCTTGCCCTTTAAAATCACTGCTCTGGATCGTTCCAGCCATCTACCTTCTCTACTGTCTCATCCTAAACCAGGATGAAGGAAATGACCCGGTCCTGCAAACTCGAGTTTTTAGGTGGACACCATTTTAGGTGAGTCTAGCCCATGAGCCCCATTCTTTGGGAATTATATTTTCCACACCCACACTCCAGATCCACAGGCCCTATGGCCATGTTTGTTTTGCATGACCTCTAGCACCCTGGCTGCAGTTAATTGAACTGTGAGTGGACTCCTGATTGATGCTGTGGTAAACAGATGTTCTCTCCTGGGAATCTGGGATTAAGACTGAGATTGTGATTCTGACTGGACTGCTCTCCTGAGCAGAACTGTAAACTCAGGAGCGATGGTACAGCCACCTCCCCAGCCTGCTGTGAGAAATGCAGAAAGACCATCTGCAGAGAGAGAATGTAGCATGGAGAGGCAGAGGCCAGAGATGGTGAGACTGCTCCCTCGTTCCTAGCAGCTCCACAGGCCCTTCCTGAGACCCTCTGACCTTAAGGTCTCTGAGTCACCCTTTATCTAGAATAAATCACTTAAGCTAAATTGAGTTAACTTGTGTCTAGTGCAGAGCTAATACAAATTCGTATCTCCACCCTCAGCTGGACTCTCAGTGTACCCTGCAATCCTTCCACATGTCAAGTTAAATCCTTTCACTGTGGCTTGTGTTTCGTTCCCTTTTGCCTCTGCAGGAACTTTGCTCCTTTACTTAGCTCTCTCCCTCATATATCTTCAACTTCTTTCTCTCCTCTACTCTTTATCTCAGCATACACACTTGGTCAACTAATCCAACCTTTTTAAAAAAAATCCAGTTTTAATCCCACATTCTACTGACTATTGCACATTTTTTCTTGCTTTCGAACCAAGCTTCTAGGAGTAGTCTACACTCTCTATCTCCACTTCCTTACTTTCAGTTTATTCCTTAATCCGATGCCATCTGACTCCCCCTCCCGCAAATCCCTACTGAAAATATTTTCACTAAAGTTACAAATGATTTCCAAGCTGCCAAATCCACTGGACGTTTTCAGACTTAACTTACTTGACTATTTGATGCCATTGGTCGATCACCCTGTACCTGCAACTCTTTCCTCTGTTGGCTCCTATGAGCTACCCTCTTCCAGTTTCTTCCTACACCGGACATGGCTCCTTCATAGCATCCTTAAGAGACTCCTTTTCCTTCATTAAGTATTTAAATATAAAAACAGTTCAGTTCACAACCATTTCTACCCACATCACTCTTCCCAGTGACCTCAACAACACCCACCTAAAGCAGACCTTGGTAATTTTGGGCTGCAGAATCTCGATCCCCTTCTTATGTTACAAGTCTTGGAGGTAAGCAGAGTCTACCTTCTATGAAAGATGCTGAAAAGGTCAGTTCTTTGCTTTCCAAGCTCTTTGGCAGCTAGGACAGAGGCAAGTGACCTAGCCCTGGCCAAGCAGCCCCCAGAAATGTTGATTCTGGAGTAAGTGATTCAGAGAAATGGAACGGTAGAGAATTCATCCTGATAGCAGTGGCTATAGTGGGATCAGCATCATTCTTTTATAGAATACAGCTTTGTTAGAGTTGCTGCCAGTGGCCAGCAATCCAAGACTGCCAAGGGTCGGATAATCATGTGTCTTGTAGATTATAAAAGCCAAATTCTCTCCTCCAAGCTAAAGTGAGTCAGAACAAAGGCATGGAGGTGGGAAATCCAGCAGGAGATACAGAAGCTTGGGACCTGGGAAGGTCCAGAGATATAAAGGAATCCTGATTCCCCAAGCCACAGCAGAATGCTTCTTTCCTCCCTAAAATTAGGTAATACTTATTTGTCTTAGAATTCAGACAGTGCTGGGGATTCTGGTGCCTGGGAAACTTGGCTGTGAGTTCTGTGGGAGAGGGTGGGATGTATTGGTCATAAACCTTACTCATCTTCTTGGATTCCTTAGACCACTTCCTTCTTTCTCTCTCTCTTGGTTGACACCCCATCTATGCCAAGTAGCCCCTCTACTTCCACACCTGTAGTAAAAATGGCACACAACAGGGGCAGCCAACCAAGGGGCAGACAATGCAACTCAGAAGTGCAGGGAAGTTAGCTTCCTTTGGGGCGAACCTTGGCTAACAGAAAACAGGAAGTAAGAGGGGAACAAGTAGATAAATTCCCTCTCAATCTCCACTTGGTGAACCTGTTTCAAGGTATGGCTTCCCCTTGCAAACACCATGTGATCGGCAAACAGCCGTGCCAAGTGACCTGCTCTTTCCTCACGGCCCACTGAGAAACAGCAAGCAATACAGTAACACATTATCTTGCATTGCTTTACATCTTTCTTTGTCTCCTGTTTCTTTTTTCCCCTCATCATCCTAGGCTTCCATCTCCCAAGTAATGTGTCAGTACATTAATCCTTGCCTCAGAGTCTGCTTTCTAGAGCAATTGGGTTATGCCTCCATCCCAACCTTGGCTCCCGACAGTAGGGTAGTCAGAAGGTGCTGAGGACAAAATTGATTTTTCCTACTCAAACTCAGAGAATCTAGCCCAAACTGCTGGCTTCCTCTCGGTGGCCTAGTGCTAAGGTCACCCGGTCAGGCCAATTCTGGCCTCTTCCCCAGGAGAAGTTGAGGCTCACTTTGAGGCTTTCTTCTTGGTCCCTTGCACTCCTGAGCACCTGAGACTTCCCTTGGGAAAAGTCAGACCTGCTTGCAGCCTGCTCTGCCTTCTGGGTCTCAGTGTTCTTAGACAGCTAGGGGGCAGGAGGCTACAGCCTAGAAGTTCAAAGTCCCCTTTATCAATGACCAGTCCAAGGCTGTGGTCAACCCAGATTGCTAGAGGGTGGGGAAGGCTGTGGTAACAGTATTTGAGATCAGGACTAGGGGAGAAAAAGAGAAGCCCTCTGCCCTCTCTGATTTTGCGCTTGATGCAGACTTTTTCACCTCTCTGCAGACCCTACAGGGCCTAGGCTAGAAGCACAGCTTTGTGGGCTGCACTGGCTTAGAGTTCCCTGAGCCAATGATGTTTCTTACTTCCTTGGCTCTCCCACAAAACAAAGGACTTTGTAAAATAACTGTGCAGATTATACTGGCTGGGAGGGGAGCCCCAGAGGCCAAAAGCAGCCACTGAGTCCCTGCTGGGTTGGCTGTGTCCCAATGGAGGCAGTTGCAGTCAGAACAGGGGATGCCCAAGAATTACAACCGAAGCTGGAAAGGATCAAGCGAGGTCCTGTGATCTCCACAGCCTTAGCATCCTCTTTTGGAGGGCATTGTATGTACACTTTGCTCCACTGAGGCTGGGGCAAAACTCCAGGTCTGGTCACAGCGCACAGCAGAACCAGAACTGCTTCCAAGATCAGAAGTCATTAGTCCCATCTCAGACCAAAGATCTTTTCTCCCTACACGCAGGACACCCAGGTTGCATCCACGAGAGAAAGAAATTCCAGGGGCCCTGCTAAAGGCTAAAGGCTCTGCCTACAGTCCCTAAGTTATACAGGTTTCTCAGAAGGCCCTTGAGTT